TTACTGTGCTCCGTAGTTGTTAACGTTCTTTCAAAATATTTCTGGGTATTTCCCTTACCCATCCCACGGGGATAGTCGATACGCAAGGGAATTATTTCCATCCAGCCTGTCAGAGGCGAGAACTCTGATCTAACCCTAATTTGAGCTAACCCTAACCCAAGGTGTTAACCCTATTTTTTTCTGACACGCCGGTAAAAAGTCTCGGATTTCTCGGAATTTTCCTCACCCATGGGAATAGTCGATGCGCAAGGGAATTATTTCTCTCCAGCCTCTCAGTGTAAAGAACTCTAAGCCTCCTAACTTGAGCCAACTCTAACCCTAGGTTCTAATAACCCTAACCCAAGGTGACAAAAAAATATTTACTTACACGTCGAAAAGGACACCATATTTCTTGTTTTCGTCAAAATTAGGAGGAAGAAATTCCGTGGCTGTTAATTCTAGAATATAAATAAGATATTAAGTTCGTGAGGAAAAGGGTAACGTTAAATGAAGTACGGTTGGCAGGCCAGAGATTCAAAAAGGTAATCTCTATAAACTAAGCCTGGGGGTGGGTGAAGGGGACGTGGGTGGGGGGGGGGGTACTTACCGTATTTCCCTGCGGGTATCATAAAGTTCCGTCTTATTGGACTGGACAGTTCAGACATTTTCTCTTCCAATTCTTGATTCATTTCAAGCTCTTTGTACCAAGTAGCTGAAACAAAGAACATCTTGTTGCGAATGAGGAAAATAGCAAAAGGAACAGACAATAGAACTATAAAAGAAAAGTGAACTAGACAAAAACGAGATTTATCTCACTGGAGCTGGTTTTGTGTAACGTGGACCTTGGAACGTTTGGACCTGCAACAAAACGTAAGAAAAAAAAAATTATAAATTGTATCTGAAAACTCAAAAAGAGAACACTTTATATAAAACATGCCGTACACTCGTGGAGAAAGAAGGCAAGGTGATAAAAAGCGAAACAACAACAACAACAACAACAACAACAACAACAAACACGAAAAACAAACAAACAAGAGAATCACCTTGGACGGAATTGTAACATGTCTTAACAAGAGTTAAATTTGTCAGCGCTCTCAGTCATCCAAGGGCCAAGCTTTACTCACCGTTGCAATACAGAATGTACCAGCTGGCATCATGACTAAAGCTTGCAGAAAAATATTTGCAATAGCCATCTGGAAAAGAAATGCACAATGACTGTCTGTATTCGCTCATGAGATTAATAAGCTACCTTATGTTTCATCATTTAATTTGATCGCAGTTCTGTGCCTTCTGACTGTATCATTTTTCGTGCATTCTCTCAAAAGCCACACACGAAAAGACTTTTCTTTGATCATGGCAGAAAACTACAGACATTTAATCTCGGCTCGATCAACCTCAGTTTGAGAATAAGCCGTTCAAACGCTACACGTATTTCATGATTCTTTAAATGTCGTATCCAGGCACACTGAACGTATTACTTACTTTCGGCCCAAGGCAGTGAACACGTGAGGCATTCTTTTTCTTTTGTCTTTACATTTACTCTGTTAAAAATAGGGCAAACAAGCTACTTTGTTTTATACTGTTTGTTTAACAAACAGATTCCATTTTGCCGTGCTTCTGTTCAGTAATAGGTCGCAGGTGACGTCAAAATGTGGTAAGAACAAAAAAGTGGCACACGAGGGGATAGCCGAGTGCGTCACTGATGTTCTTACCACATTTTGACGTCATCTGTGATCTATTACTGAACAGACGCAGGGCAACATGAGATCTACTTGTTTATACATCAGTAAAGAAAAAAGTGATGTTAGTAACGTTATCTATCGTCTGTGTAAGAACCAGTCAAAATGGAAGAATAAATCGACATATTATATAAATACTTTCGAGGAATTCTGTTGCCCTTTAAAAGAAAAAAGTAACAAAATAAGCTAGAGTTTTGGTTCAGAAAAATGATATTGAACTGTCCACATCTTTTCGCATTAACAGTCCTGTTAACTTAAACTCGTCATTACTCTTCAAACAAGGACAAATGCCTACTACAGGTCTAGTAAGTAGACGGAGGATCGGGACATGATTCCTCTGACCCAAGGTAGGACTGTAAACATCGCACATACACAGGTCTGTGGGATGTAGTGATGACTAAAATTACAGCAAAACAAACCGGCCAACCACACCTGTAAATATGTCTTTCTCTTGGTGACGTCTCTGTACTTAGAAAATACCTGATAGATGAAACAAAAAACGTTATGGAAAGTCCCATTTCTACGCCGGTGGTACAGACCCATTTCTGTGTGTTCAACTTTCATTTCTTTCTTTCAAAAATGTTTTCATTACTCAATTAAGTTCTTGGGTTGCCTATGACAAGACATATTGAAGCAGATAGGTGCTTTACTTCTGGGCCAGCTTCACCTCAGCTTAACGCACGGCCGTAGCGCACGTTAATATGTCAGCTTCAGGCTGTGTCAGCTTCAAAGACCTTCGACAACATTCAAAGTACAACGTAAAGTTAGTTGGCCAACTTTAAGGAGATTTAAGCCATCTTTAATGTTCCGTAGAATCTCGGTTTTCATGCTGTGTCGAGTCTACAAAAAGTCCTAAACATCAGGGATCATGTACAATTACAAATGAGAAGGTTTAATTTGAATAAGGCCATAACTTACACTGTCTCAGTTTCTCTCTTAAACGCCAAAATCTGCACTACTTCCCACGTACCAGAAGTGAGAAATGTGATGCTATCTTTGCCTGGCGACTGTGAAGATAATTACAATGGAGGAAACGTTACTAAACACTAAATTTCGGTAATGAACCCTATGCGTATTATAATAGACTTTCAGAAAAGTCCTTCGTCTTTTTTATTCATTATCCGCCGGCTCGCGCGACTTCGTCATTCCCTCGACACGGAGCCCACTATCCCAGCAAGTAAGCGCCTAATAAGTCAAACTTTCGTACTTACAGGGACCATGACTTTGGCCAGGTGAATAAAATCTCCTTGTTCTCCTTGAGACGACGGTACAAGAGTCAAGTAATACGATCCGTCTTTTGCGAACCAAGGGCTTGGAGGCTGTGGACATAAATAAAAGTTTTACCAGTCCTAATCTCCATTGATCGAAATTTCAATTCTCTTTTCTAATTGCCACACAGTTCTTGCAATGTTAGTTCAGGCGAGATTGTAGTGGTACAAGAAAACAATGTCTCTTAGTTGATGAACTGAAAACATTTCACATTTATTAGCTGCTGTTCAGTGCTCTCGTTTCATCTTACTTCTGACTGATGGTATATCACATTGAATATTTCTAGCTTAATGGTTTATGGGTATCACCAAAAAAGGGTCAGTTAAATGTCATAACAAGTCCGCTAAATTGATTAAAAAAAGAATAAAAGAAACCATTAACACAACAACAACAACAGCAGGAAAAGTCGAAAAGCTTACTAATAACCTCGTCTCTTGGGTCTTCTTTACTTTTTAAAATGCTGGCGGATGGGTGACAAGCCGCCATGTTTAAAATCGTCGAGGAGAAGACCCTGGGGTGGAGGTTGGCTCACTAACAGACTTACCAAGTACGACTTAGTATTCACCCAGCCGTTTGCGACCTGCAGTTTTTGATTCTAGAAGAACAGAAACAAATAAACAATAAGGACAGGGCGAAAAATCATTATTACGCTATCAGACAAGTACAAGGGTAAAAAGGCCGGGCATGCGATTCGAAACTCCGCAGTCAAACGTTTGACTGTAGTTTCCTGGAGTCTGGAGGGAAAGGACGACTTGTTATTACAGTTAAATATCTAAAACGGTCACCATGGAGCATAACTGACTGAGAGATGGCTGTTAGTGGAGGTTCTCCATTTCTTTTTCGACACAGAAAACAATCGATGTCCGCTGCTCTCTGGAGCCTGATGTGTGAGCGTGGGCTCAATCCCCCAGCTCTGTTGATGATAAAGTTCTTACCTCAGTGCAGTTCCCGGATGTTGCGTCACAGATGGATGCAACAGATGTATCCTGTATCCGGTTTAACCACCAAACCAATACGTTACTGTTTGACGCCCATGCCACGTTAGTGTAATAATGCTCACTGTGGAGCGAAAGAAAGGGAAATGCAAAAATGTGTTATAATAAAAAAAATAGTTCAATTTAATAGAGCAGTTTTCTATTGAGTGTCGCAAAACCAAGACCAAAGTTATCACTCTAGCCAATCAGAAAGGACACAGACAATCCAATAAACTAATCAAAACTGTACGTAAATATATGTAGCTGACGCGAAGCGCGGGAAAACGTGTGCGAACGAGTCGGACGCCACGATTGGTTCTTGCTTTACAGTCCTTTTTACTTCCTAAGATGGTACTTCGACCAAACACGGGAAAATTTCTTGAGAGCACGTGCTTTACTTTTTAAGTAAAGGCAAGGTAAAAGGTAAAGTCTGCATACGAGCCAAGTGGCCCACCAGGCCGGAGCTTATCCCGGTCTCTGTAGCATGAAGCGACTAGGAGTATTTCTACTTCTCCCTGGATAAGGTGCTAGTCCATCGCAGGGTTACCCCNCAATTTGTTAGGTTTCCCCACCAATTCGCCAGTACCAATTTATACTACTGGGTGGAGAGAGGCACTGTGAGAGTAAAGTGTCTTGCCCAAGAACACAACACAGTGTTCCCAGCCAGGGCTCGAACCCGGACCGCTCGATCCGGAGACGAGCGCACAAACCATGAGGCCACCTCACCTCCCACTTTTTAAGTAAAGCTTATCACAAAAATTCACTTACATGTCTTTAAACTCCTCTGGCGGCTTAAGGTCTGTTGTAGGTGGAACCTTGTTCGTATCCGATGGCAGATTTTCCAAGTCCACCATTTTGACTTTAACGACAGGATTAGGGGAGCCCGGCTTGGGGTAAGCTATCTTCTTAACAGTGGTGTAGATGTCGGCGTTCTCACCGTACCACATGTACGGGAACCACTTCACTTGAGTGTCGTTTGATTGCGCGAAAACAAGGTATCGACCATCTGGGGAAAACCACATGGCTTTATTTGTAAGCGTCACGTCCTCTGCAAATACATTTCGACTTGGTTTTAGTCAAGATGGAACAAGCACTGAACGGTGGGTCGAACTCTTTAAGGTTTTTGCGCGACTTTATGTTTTGTCCCTATAGCTAGGCAAGACACTCTCAGAGTGCCTTTCTCCACTCAGGTGTATATGAATGGGTATCAGCAAGATCACCTTGATAATCTCTTGGTATCAGCGAATTTACTACTGTGGGGGAGGAGGGTGGTGGTGGTAACGCTGTGATGGAGTAGCATCTTATCCGGGGGGGGGAGTAGTTATGCTACGAAAACTTCAGTTTTGCCCCAGCTGTGTGGTCGCCTGGACTGTAAGGGAATAATTTGAAAATAACGCTGTTTTCTGACAGTAAACAGCGCCTCGCACAGTTCCATTTACCAGGAAAAAGAAGAGGATTGTGAAAGCCATCTTAAGTCGTGCAGTGTGAACCAAGAGCCTTGTAATGCTTTAATATCTTCCAGACTTTGCCGTAAGGTAGCCGTGTAAATTTCGACTCAGTGGCCTGGGGCGTATCTGAAAAGGTCACGTGTTACTTACGTACCTTCATAGACCCAATCAGGGACGCCGTTGAATAACTCGTTTTCTTTTCCGTTATCAGTGATCGTGTGAAGGCTTCCTTCAATTCTGTCCAACCAATAGATGTTATTGTCTTGAACCAATCCCTATCAGTAAAACCAAATCAAAAAGTAAGTAAAGCCAGACAAGAGAGAGCCCACGCGAACGTTCTTGTGGTTTTTTTTTTTTTTGGAGTCACTGGTCGACAAATGTCTTTACAAACTCTTCCTCAACCAGCCGCCATTTTGAATGCGTTCTCCGAGAAGACTACGGGAGGGAGTTGAAACAAGTTTCCTTGCTATAAATGGGATGAACTCGAAGAGATTAAAGTGTTATAGAGCAGGGTAACTTAAAGCAAGTTAACTTGCTATTGACTTGAAGGTTATTTGCACATCACAAAAGACGACCTTTAGTTCTTAATGACAGTAAGCTTACTATTGAAGTGCCTTTGTTGCCCCATAAAGCCAGCTGAATCTGCTTCTTTGGATTAGGTGGCATGATCCGAAAGGTCGTTCTGGAAAGAAAAAGCAAATGGGAATAGGTTGGTTGGTTTCTCGAACGCATACAGATTTTTCGAGTGAAAGCTAAGAAATCAGGACCCTGAAGGTTTTCCTCAATTTTTGTTTCGATTGAGCAGATAAATCAAACAGAAGAGACAGTGTTGCATCACATTCCAAACACCGAGAAGAGATCTGAGAATGTGATGTGTGGCTCAGTATTTTGATGAACGTCTAGGTGTTTGGAGATGTGAGGCAACACTGTCTCGCGTGTTTGATATATGACTAGAAAGCTTTAAACTACACTAGATTGAACGCTAAATTGCACATCCCCAAATTGTTTGTTTTGAAGAAAGAGGCACAAAAAAAGAACTAAAAAAACACGTTTGTTTACTCACCCATTTTCCAGGTAGTGCGCGTAATAATCTGCAAAGAATGATCTGCGGTACAACTGTAAACAAAAATTTGATAAGTACAGTATTTTAACCCGCTCGATTCAAATATAATACTCGAAATAATATTTTCTTACTACCGAATTACTGCTTTTCAAAGGTCACTTCAACTTCCTCTTGTTGACGATTTTCTATATTCTTATCACCTGTCTGCTTGATACTATATGAATATAGAAAAGAGAAATGGGACGTTGATCATTTTTGTTTTGGAAATAAGAGGATTCTGGTCAGTCCTTCACCATCCTAACCGCGTCCAATCTTGACGTAACCCTACAGAAATCCGTTTAATGTTACTGATTGGTAGTCACTCGCACGTGGAAAATCGTAACCTAGCGACAACCAATCGGAGCACTCCACAGATCTGTTTATTGTAGAATCTCAGGCATCTCTTGAGAGAGGAGGAAAAATAGAGAACGTGACAAGAGACACTAGAAAATCACGCGGTCTTTACTTTCCAAACATTTCCTTCGATCGCAGCTACACGTTCAAGGGGCGGTGACATGAAGAAAAGAAGCGTGACATCTTACAGGGTGTTACCTTTTTCTTGTTGGAAGCCAACAGAACCCATTTTTCGTCAGGCGACATCCAGTAGGAAGACACATTGAAATCATCCTACAAGGAGGTATGAAGTTAATAAAGTTTCTTCATTATATTTACCTAGGCAACAATGCCACAAGGCACACACGCGTAATCTCGTTCCCAGATCTGGGAATGAGATTACCCGTCTGTACCTTGCGGCATTGTTGCCTAGGTAAATATACAAGAGATCTGGGAACGAGATTAACACACGGGCTAACACGGCGCTAACCCTCTACACAAACGTCCTTATGGCACGTCACACAATCTTTGCGTGACGAGCCATAGGAGGAGGAGACACGAGGCTAACAGGGTGGAAGTTAACCTGAATTTTTTACACATAGCGATACGCGACAATTTTATGAGGCGTGAACGCTTTGTGTGACCACGCTCNGAGAATCTTTGGAAATCTTCAAAAAGTGGTCAGAAATCTTTGGAACATCATCAGAAACATTGTTTTTAAATTAGTTTGTTTATAAAATAAACCAAAAAATAGATGGTTGCTTGTAGATATGGAATTTCTCTTCCTGTGTTCATCTTCATATCTCACTCATTCACCATGCACACTCAACGAGAAATTTCGTATAATTTACGTACACCTATATCGATCGCCGCTTGCCTTCGATTGATATATTGATTGTTAATGATTGGCAAAAACAAATAAAAATCAATCAATCGATCTATGGTAATCGATAACATGGCTAATCCTAATGAGTACTTGTTTCACAGTAACATATTTCAGACAATGGCAATGCTGCATTGTAGCTACCTTAAAGTGTCTAGAAATAAAACCACACAAGAATAGCATTAATCGTTAAGCAATAATTTTTATCATTGATTTCAGCATCTAGCCCAGGCTGAGTGTTCATCCCATTCCACTTGTTTTCTACGGGTTTAAAGAGATTTTCACATTTCTATTCATTCCACAACACAGGCAGTCAACTTTCAGCACATGCATTTCAGGTTTATTGATTGACTGCACTTGGTAACTACTAGAAGGATTTCTATTTTTTTGTTTCCTTTGCATCAGTAAATTCATTTGCATGAAAAGTGACATCACTGTTGTTAAGAAGAGAGTTTTGAAGTGGCGTGACGTGCACATGGAAACATTCTGAATTTAAGTTACGCGTACGTTTATTGCGTGTACGAATTTAAGTTGCGTGGACGTTTGTCAGCAGAGTTTTAGACAGTTTCAAGTGAGCAGCTGCTTTGCCTTTTAGAGAGTTTTGTGCTGTTTAGCGTTTACTGTTTTACCAATTTTGAAGTGTTTTGGTCGAGTACAGTTCTGTTTACTGCTCATGAACAACTGTTGTTAAAAATTGGTGACAAATTTTTTTCAATTCAGGATGCTCCAAACTATAGATTTCAGCAAAGAAACTAAAATGTCCCACACCAATTTTCTAAAAAACAGTTTTAGCTGTAGTGGTGCGGTGCTGTGGAACAGCTTACCTACCAATCTGCAGCATGCACAAACTCTTGCTAGTTTTAAATCCGGCTGCAGGGGTTTCCTTTTTCATAATAAATAAGTTAATTAATCACACGGCTATCATGGAAAGCAGGCACTTTGTTATTGTTTTTATTTTTGTTTTTACTAGATTTAATTAGTAGTAGATTAGTATCTTAACAGTGTAATTAATGCAATTTTAGTATTTACTTTAACTCGTGATGTTTTACCCGTGTATAAATAAAGTTAAATAAATAAATAAATAAAGTCTCTTTCTTCTTTTCATCAACTATTCGTTCATATCATCTTGCATCTCCCAATTTATTTACAGTATCGAAAAATTATAAGCGAAATGTATAGCTCTGTCCGTCCTCAATTCCCCTATCTGTTTTTTTGTCTTAAAATATTAATCACAGCACTGCTATATTTCAGCTATAATTATTTTTATTGTACATATAGCGAGAATTTTAGGCAATAAACCTTGCAAATAGAATTCTATATGTGCTATACTTCCACATGTGAAAAAAGCGATACGTCCAATCAGCTTCGCGTATAGCATTCTTCCCAAGTGAAAATATAACCAATCAACATTCAGATTGAATCACTTAGCCAATCAGAGTTAAGCACTCAAATGGCTTCCGAGAAGCGCGGTCTTGAAATCAGCGCCCGCTTGAAGTTTTGTTTCGAGAACATGGCTTCAGCTTCCCGTTTTAGTTCACTTTCGGAAAAAACAGCAGTGGAATATATCCAACATCTTGAGGGCTAGAACTTCAGTTTGAGAATCAATGGCCATTTAAGAAACCGAGGAAGTAAATTTAACTTCAGAAAGCCAACAACATTCAAGGAGGAACATTCAAATTTAAACAGTGTGAGTCACAGCGTCCGAATTTGTCTTTGCACAGTGTGAAGTGCCGCCATTACATGATTAAATCTGAGTGTGATTAGGGACAAGCAAAAAGATTTTACCCTACGTATTTACAAATTCTCCCATATTATATTTAAGCTCGTGTAGGGTCTTTGTCCGCCTGTTGCTGGACTGGAAAGCAGATTTGTTTTTAATTACGCTCAGTCATTTTGATCAGTTTTGAATTTGTTGTTGTTCTGCATGTAAACTTATGGTATCGGAAAAACTAAAACTGATTTAACAAATATGTTTAATTCTCGTCATATGTACAATAAACAAATTACAACATAGAAAGTACTTTGTACAGATTTTTATTCACTTGTTGAAAAACTTTGGAAAACTCACTCATTTCCTGCGCTCACTCATTCGTTTTCCAAAGTTTTGCAACTCGTGAATAAAAATCCGTATGTTGCACTTTCTATGAAGTAATCTATATTTATGGAGCTTTTTCATAATAAGTATTGTGTAAGCAGGAAGTACAGTCATGTAAGTGTATTATGTACTAGTATAATATTAGCTCTGTAAGTAGTTTAAGTGTCTGTCCTGTAAATTAAACTGGAATTAAAAAAAAATTATAGGTCTCTGTCAAGGTCGGTCATGCAATCTTGTTTGGTTTTGCGAAGCCGTGCAGTTTTAAGCGCTCTCTCATAGACCACAGCCTAATTTTCCCAAAACAAAAATCATATCAGTCAAAAGCCCATCCCTAAAGAGGTTTGATCTCTAAATTTCCTTTAATTTGTGATAAAGGTGGTGGGGTAAATTATTTTTTCAAGTTAGGTAGTGATTTCCATAGAGAAACAAGGGGATTTCTTTCAGGTCTGTTTATTTATTTCTGGAGTAGAATTTTCACTTTTAATAATCATAAGAAGCACACATTTGACTTATTAATCATACAAGGTGATGAAAAAAGAGTGAAGGCTTGGAACCGACTGGCTCATAGTTGCTGGAGCTTATCCCGGTTTCTGTAGCATGAAGCGGCTAGGAGTATTTCTACTCCCCCTGGATGGGATGCTTGTCCATATCAGGTCACTCCCCCGCAATTTGTTAGGTTTCCCCACCAATTCGCCAGTACCAATTTATACTACTGGGTGGAGTGAGGCACTGTGAGAGTAAAGTGTCTTGCCCAAGAACACAACACAGTGTTCCCAGCCAGGGCTCGAACCCGGACCGCTCGATCCGGAGACGAGCGCACAAACCATGAGGCCACCTCACCTCCCACTTTTTAAGTAAAGCTTATCACAAAAATTCACTTACATGTCTTTAAACTCCTCTGGCGGCTTAAGGTCTGTTGTAGGTGGAACCTTGTTCGTATCCGATGGCAGATTTTCCAAGTCCACCATTTTGACTTTAACGACAGGATTAGGGGAGCCCGGCTTGGGGTAAGCTATCTTCTTAACAGTGGTGTAGATGTCGGCGTTCTCACCGTACCACATGTACGGGAACCACTTCACTTGAGTGTCGTTTGATTGCGCGAAAACAAGGTATCGACCATCTGGGGAAAACCACATGGCTTTATTTGTAAGCGTCACGTCCTCTGCAAATAGATTTCGACTTGGTTTTAGTCAAGATGGAACAAGCACTGAACGGTGGGTCGAACTCTTTAAGGCTTTTGCGCGACTTTATGTTGTGTCCCTATAGCTAGGCAAGACACTCTCAGAGTGCCTTTCTCCACTCAGGTGTATATGAATGGGTATCAGCAAGATCACCTTGATAATCTCTTGGTATCAGCGAATTTACTACTGTGGGGGAGGAGGGTGGTGGTGGTAACGCTGTGATGGAGTAGCATCTTATCCGGGGGGGGGAGTAGTTATGCTACGAAAACTTCAGTTTTGCCCCAGCTGTGTGGTCGCCTGGACTGTAAGGGAATAATTTGAAAATAACGCTGTTTTCTGACAGTAAACAGCGCCTCGCACAGTTCCATTTACCAGGAAAAAGAAGAGGATTGTGAAAGCCATCTTAAGTCGTGCAGTGTGAACCAAGAGCCTTGTAATGCTTTAATATCTTCCAGACTTTGCCGTAAGGTAGCCGTGTAAATTTCGACTCAGTGGCCTGGGGCGTATCTGAAAAGGTCACGTGTTACTTACGTACCTTCATAGACCCAATCAGGGACGCCGTTGAATAACTCGTTTTCTTTTCCGTTATCAGTGATCGTGTGAAGGCTTCCTTCAATTCTGTCCAACCAATAGATGTTATTGTCTTGAACCAATCCCTATCAGTAAAACCAAATCAAAAAGTAAGTAAAGCCAGACAAGAGAGAGCCCACGCGAACGTTCTTGTGGTTTTTTTTTTTTTTGGAGTCACTGGTCGACAAATGTCTTTACAAACTCTTCCTCAACCAGCCGCCATTTTGAATGCGTTCTCCGAGAAGACTACGGGAGGGAGTTGAAACAAGTTTCCTTGCTATAAATGGGATGAACTCGAAGAGATTAAAGTGTTATAGAGCAGGGTAACTTAAAGCAAGTTAACTTGCTATTGACTTGAAGGTTATTTGCACATCACAAAAGACGACCTTTAGTTCTTAATGACAGTAAGCTTACTATTGAAGTGCCTTTGTTGCCCCATAAAGCCAGCTGAATCTGCTTCTTTGGATTAGGTGGCATGATCCGAAAGGTCGTTCTGGAAAGAAAAAGCAAATGGGAATAGGTTGGTTGGTTTCTCGAACGCATACAGATTTTTCGAGTGAAAGCTAAGAAATCAGGACCCTGAAGGTTTTCCTCAATTTTTGTTTCGATTGAGCAGATAAATCAAACAGAAGAGACAGTGTTGCATCACATTCCAAACACCGAGAAGAGATCTGAGAATGTGATGTGTGGCTCAGTATTTTGATGAACGTCTAGGTGTTTGGAGATGTGAGGCAACACTGTCTCGCGTGTTTGATATATGACTAGAAAGCTTTAAACTACACTAGATTGAACGCTAAATTGCACATCCCCAAATTGTTTGTTTTGAAGAAAGAGGCACAAAAAAAGAACTAAAAAAACACGTTTGTTTACTCACCCATTTTCCAGGTAGTGCGCGTAATAATCTGCAAAGAATGATCTGCGGTACAACTGTAAACAAAAATTTGATAAGTACAGTATTTTAACCCGCTCGATTCAAATATAATACTCGAAATAATATTTTCTTACTACCGAATTACTGCTTTTCAAAGGTCACTTCAACTTCCTCTTGTTGACGATTTTCTATATTCTTATCACCTGTCTGCTTGATACTATATGAATATAGAAAAGAGAAATGGGACGTTGATCATTTTTGTTTTGGAAATAAGAGGATTCTGGTCAGTCCTTCACCATCCTAACCGCGTCCAATCTTGACGTAACCCTACAGAAATCCGTTTAATGTTACTGATTGGTAGTCACTCGCACGTGGAAAATCGTAACCTAGCGACAACCAATCGGAGCACTCCACAGATCTGTTTATTGTAGAATCTCAGGCATCTCTTGAGAGAGGAGGAAAAATAGAGAACGTGACAAGAGACACTAGAAAATCACGCGGTCTTTACTTTCCAAACATTTCCTTCGATCGCAGCTACACGTTCAAGGGGCGGTGACATGAAGAAAAGAAGCGTGACATCTTACAGGGTGTTACCTTTTTCTTGTTGGAAGCCAACAGAACCCATTTTTCGTCAGGCGACATCCAGTAGGAAGACACATTGAAATCATCCTACAAGGAGGTATGAAGTTAATAAAGTTTCTTCATTATATTTACCTAGGCAACAATGCCACAAGGCACACACGCGTAATCTCGTTCCCAGATCTGGGAATGAGATTACCCGTCTGTACCTTGCGGCATTGTTGCCTAGGTAAATATACAAGAGATCTGGGAACGAGATTAACACACGGGCTAACACGGCGCTAACCCTCTACACAAACGTCCTTATGGCACGTCACACAATCTTTGCGTGACGAGCCATAGGAGGAGGAGACACGAGGCTAACAGGGTGGAAGTTAACCTGAATTTTTTACACATAGCGATACGCGACAATTTTATGAGGCGTGAACGCTTTGTGTGACCACGCTCCATGTCTCCCAAAACGGCTGAAAATTGGGCCCACTAGCTAGCCTGTCTACACCCTCAGACGGGCAATCACCAATGACCCTCGTGTCATTACATTGGGAGCGTGACGAAAAGGAAGAAATGAATTAGTTACCATGATGTCTTGAGAAACAGGAAAATTCCTGGTCGTGTTCTTGGCAAGATCGGTAACAGTAAGGTTTCCGTTAGAATATCTGAGATACTCGGTATCTGTGGAAGCAAACATAAGCGAATCAACTTTATAAAAAGGACAAAGTCGTTAGTTTTTCTTTAAAACCAAAACGTTGCGTTTCCATCGAAATCCAATGCCGCGTCCACTGAAAGGCCATGTTCCAGACTCTCACAAAACCGTGACGCTTTTAGTTTCTCGCTTTCTCGAAACTTGAGCTTAGAACCGCCTCTGACATAAACTGTAATCAATTCCAGCTCTAAGCTTTCATTCTGTGTCGGAATTTCGTCATCGCAATTGTGAGAGCCTAACTGGATAATGTCGCCATCTTGGGTTTGTTCACGGTACTGAGGTAGCCTCTTTCAGGCTTTCAGTTAGTTGGGGTGCAGCGCCAAAAAATGGCGGAGCGAAACAAAGGGAGAGAGAGTTTTCCGCGCTGCACCCAACTTACTGAACGCCTGGAAGCGGGAGGCCTCGATTATCAACCGCTATTCGAACAAGGAGCCCGCGCTCCTCCCGCGAACGTAGGAACCTGCGTAGACTGGACTCGAATGAGAGGAGAAAATCGAGCCTAGGAAGCGGGTGAGGCCAATACTTAAGGGACGTGGTAACGTATTACATTGGCTTAAAGAAAGAACATGCATGATAGAAAATCTTGAAGTGAACTGTCAACTCCCTTGAATACAGAAGTCATCCGTGAAGAGCCATTTTGGTTTAAGACTATTTCTTCCCCGCATTTTTGCAATAATGTGTACTTATTATTTAACCTACAAAGTAACTAGGTTTTACTACAAACAAGCTCCAGTTTGTCGTGCTTTTTCTATCGTATTTATTAAATCCATAGGAAAATTGGAGAAGATTCTCACGTATACAACAAACGCGCCGCTTTCACGTAAAATTGGCAAACGGCAGACAGTAAATATTTACCTTGTTTAACTCATCATACCTGACATCCAGCGAACAGAATAAGTAGAGTAAGAGTATTTGCCATTGAAGATGTCGTCAAATCCGTACAACTTCCCAGAAGTTTCCTGTTTACCTGCAGATGGCCACACGCATCATTTCAATAAACCCTCATTTTCAAAACAGTTGTTCTCATTTAATTTTCAACATGTGTTTCTCGTCTCAGACCTCAGCAAGATCGCAGATTAACCGCATCCTGCCCTCGTACCCGTTGCGTGAGGCGCGGAACGGGGAATGCGCAAGTGTAGCCAACCGCGGAACAAACGCGGTTATACAATAAGCTTGGTCGCACGTTGTTAGTGCACGAGTTTGAAAACTATAAACTTCTGAGATTAACCCTTTGTACTAAAGAAGTACAATAAAAAAGCGTGAAACATAAGGGTAAAGCGGCCCATTGAAATGTTTGTTACATAGTGATATAGCGGTGTACAGTGCTTTGCGTTACGTTTCTGCGAAAAGTGCGCATATGTGTTAGAGTGCTTTGGCTCCAAAAGTTCTCAGTTTTATGTGAACCACGAAGTGGAGAAAAAGAGTCGTTCACTTTCGTAGCCAAAAGAAGAATGCAAACTTCTGGGATTATACATAAAGCAAGATTCGGCTGAAGATAAGCCATTGAGCGGTACATGTGATACGCTGTTTACTTAAGAGGCGCTTTAGTATGGCACAGAGCGCTTGCTTTCGTTTATTTATTATATTTAACCTACTTGACAAAGGAAATCGTTCGTAAAATGTAAATACACTACGCAAGAATGTAGCCGAGAGGCGCGAAAGAGCCATTGGTTGCGGCCACTCAAAAAAGACTGAAGACTGTTACACTATTATGCAAATTGACCTTTTGACGTCACTGTTGTCTAGCTTTTGTCAGAAACTCTTTGTATTTTTAATACCATGCCTATTGTGCTTATTATTTTCATTTTAAGCAACTGACGCCTTTGTTCTTTTTTTGAAACTACCAAATAATGAGGTCAACAGAGAATGATCGTGATAATTGACTTCAAATACATCAGAAATTTGAATCATATCTTAGGCTAAAATTTTCGCCATTCATAAGCCTCTTACAGCAAGTCTACTTAGAATGTCTAAGGAAAGGTCTTCGTAAGCACAAGCAAAGATCACCAGGAAAGAACCCTGGTTAAATTTTGATTCACATGCACAAACGTCTGCTGGTCGCGAGGGTTAGACCTTACTCCCCCTGAAAAGAAAGTATCACAGGCGAGATTCGGGGGAACGAAAAGCCCATGAAGTGGGCTCCTGGGTGGCAAGGGGTTTCTTTGGTTAACATGCGCTGCTGTTGAGCATGTTCGGATGTCTTTGCTGTGTTAGCTGCATTATCAAAGACTGGAAAATCAACATTCTTTTGGCCTGCTACAGCGGGCATATGAGTTTGATGGACCCAGAGAAATCCTTCCAAATCAAATCCCTTCCCCGGGAAGAGATAAGCTTACCTTTTGTTGTCAGTCCCTTCCCTTCCTTGGAGAGAACGATGGCTAAAATAATTGCAACTGCTACCAGAAAACTCACCACAATCAGTGGTATTCCAATCTTTGTAAACTGCGAACTAGTGCGCATTTTGATGAGGAAAATAAACGAACTTAGCTCGACCGATCGACTCACAGATGCTCCAGCTGGAGCTCTCGTCTGTCTGTGACGTAAAATGTGATAACTCCGTCATTACTGAAACAAACGATATCCGGTCGTATGACCTTTGACTCCATCATGCTGGTAGTGACTGTTGTAGATGCGATTATCCTGTACCAAATTGGTGATGGGAACTGCAGTACAGTGTGCCAGAAAATAATCAATCGAAGAAAAAAAGCAAAAAATAATAATAAAATAAAATAAAAATAAATAAATAAATAGCACTTCTTTTTCAATCAGATGTAGAAGTATTTGGTTAGCCTGCACACCTCGCTCGAGCCGAAAGATAGTTTAAAACACAAGTCTCGCGCCGAAGTCACGCAACGGGATGTGGAGCGTTGCGTGACTCCGACACGAAAATCCCTTCCCGTTTGCCCAGCTTTACGACTTCTACGCAGGTTAGATCTTGACGCAGTGAAGGGTTTTTTAGTCTGTCCTGAGACCTATTTTGTCTTGAATTTGTCGAAATCGCAATTCGGGGTATGGGGAATGAGCCAACGAGGACGGGAAACAAGCCAAAACGAACGGGGTGGGGCAAGAAAAAAAAAAAACCGGAAGCGATCCCATGTGAAAAGGTGGGGGTTGCAAGTCGGAAACTTTGAAGCAATCCCCTAATGGAGACCAATTTGGGCGCAACTGGAGCTTTATTTGACCCCTATAAAAAGAAACCACTTTAAAACGAATATGACAGTGTTTTTTCTTGTTTGTTTTTTTTTTTAGTGCAACCCTAAAAGATACCTGTCGTTTTGTCACAAACATCGCAACTGAGACAAAAATCCAAGATTTTACACCCCTACCCCCATCATTTACACCCCTGACAAGTATCCCTGACCTTTGAGTTTTTCTTGAAACCAGAGTATAATTTCGTAAAACTCCAGGTAGCTTGCAAAAGATTTTTGCCACGTAGTTCAAGATGTGAGACTGAATACATACTCAACAAGAAATTTAATTTACTATATTCTCAGACGTTCTACTGTACATTTATTGTGGACTCAAAGTGAGAGTTAACATTTGAATTTATATGCCTGCCCTGTTCAAAATACCTTCCCCCACCCCCACAACTATTATTTCAGCTCTTCCAAGTAATAAGTCATTCTCTGCATGATATGGGGTAGCCTGTTATACAGATGCTCTGTGGGATTGTCACACAATCTTCCTTCCATGTTTGTGGGGAAGGAAGATTGCGTGATGAGCCCAAAGCCTACCTGCGTAGGAGGCTAGATATAGAACGAAGAGAAAAATCGGGACTAAAACTGAAAAACATTGAAATTTCTAAATTTTTAGGGCTGATAAGCTTGCGGTAATGAATGTTTAAGTCTGAGACTCATTAAGGCACCAAGACACTTGTTTCAAATTGGACCACTTTAACGATGTCACACAATATCACTTTTTTAAAAAAAACACATATACAAAACACCACTGAAGATCAATAATTATTATTTATCTTTGCAAATTTAGTAGATAAACAAGGACTATGTGACTCACTTCAAAAGGGATTTCAAGATTTTGAGATCAACAGTATTTGTAGTTACATGTACTTATTTTTTTATTATATCATTAGGTAAGAATTATATTAATGAATTAATATTATTACATACTCTATGATTTTGATTTTGATATTTTTTCATTGATACCTTTATTTTTCCTTGAAGATATTAGCTCTGTCTGGCTACCCCAAAAATAAGAGCAAATTAAAATAAAGTTTGTGTATGTATGCACCAAAGGTTTCTGCGATCCACTATTTTCTAGACACCATTTGTCACCCTTATACATTGCCCACCTGTACCTCTGTCACCTATATCACCCCTTCAGGTGGGGGTTGTGTTCACTGGCAACCATGGCACCAACACAAGTCAGGCACATCTTACTAATAAATAACCTTTTCATTATTTACTTAAGAAACTCATGCAGAAGAACAGTAGCTGTCAAAATGGTGCAAAGAATTGAGGTCATTGTGCTTGCTTTTGACCACCACTGATCACTTTCTGCAAATTTCTTGGGCATTAAAGCATCTTCAACACCACTGCTGAGATCANGGTTTTTTTTTTTTTTGGAGTCACTGGTCGACAAATGTCTTTACAAACTCTTCCTCAACCAGCCGCCATTTTGAATGCGTTCTCCGAGAAGACTACGGGAGGGAGTTGAAACAAGTTTCCTTGCTATAAATGGGATGAACTCGAAGAGATTAAAGTGTTATAGAGCAGGGTAACTTAAAGCAAGTTAACTTGCTATTGACTTGAAGGTTATTTGCACATCACAAAAGACGACCTTTAGTTCTTAATGACAGTAAGCTTACTATTGAAGTGCCTTTGTTGCCCCATAAAGCCAGCTGAATCTGCTTCTTTGGATTAGGTGGCATGATCCGAAAGGTCGTTCTGGAAAGAAAAAGCAAATGGGAATAGGTTGGTTGGTTTCTCGAACGCATACAGATTTTTCGAGTGAAAGCTAAGAAATCAGGACCCTGAAGGTTTTCCTCAATTTTTGTTTCGATTGAGCAGATAAATCAAACAGAAGAGACAGTGTTGCATCACATTCCAAACACCGAGAAGAGATCTGAGAATGTGATGTGTGGCTCAGTATTTTGATGAACGTCTAGGTGTTTGGAGATGTGAGGCAACACTGTCTCGCGTGTTTGATATATGACTAGAAAGCTTTAAACTACACTAGATTGAACGCTAAATTGCACATCCCCAAATTGTTTGTTTTGAAGAAAGAGGCACAAAAAAAGAACTAAAAAAACACGTTTGTTTACTCACCCATTTTCCAGGTAGTGCGCGTAATAATCTGCAAAGAATGATCTGCGGTACAACTGTAAACAAAAATTTGATAAGTACAGTATTTTAACCCGCTCGATTCAAATATAATACTCGAAATAATATTTTCTTACTACCGAATTACTGCTTTTCAAAGGTCACTTCAACTTCCTCTTGTTGACGATTTTCTATATTCTTATCACCTGTCTGCTTGATACTATATGAATATAGAAAAGAGAAATGGGACGTTGATCATTTTTGTTTTGGAAATAAGAGGATTCTGGTCAGTCCTTCACCATCCTAACCGCGTCCAATCTTGACGTAACCCTACAGAAATCCGTTTAATGTTACTGATTGGTAGTCACTCGCACGTGGAAAATCGTAACCTAGCGACAACCAATCGGAGCACTCCACAGATCTGTTTATTGTAGAATCTCAGGCATCTCTTGAGAGAGGAGGAAAAATAGAGAACGTGACAAGAGACACTAGAAAATCACGCGGTCTTTACTTTCCAAACATTTCCTTCGATCGCAGCTACACGTTCAAGGGGCGGTGACATGAAGAAAAGAAGCGTGACATCTTACAGGGTGTTACCTTTTTCTTGTTGGAAGCCAACAGAACCCATTTTTCGTCAGGCGACATCCAGTAGGAAGACACATTGAAATCATCCTACAAGGAGGTATGAAGTTAATAAAGTTTCTTCATTATATTTACCTAGGCAACAATGCCACAAGGCACACACGCGTAATCTCGTTCCCAGATCTGGGAATGAGATTACCCGTCTGTACCTTGCGGCATTGTTGCCTAGGTAAATATACAAGAGATCTGGGAACGAGATTAACACACGGGCTAACACGGCGCTAACCCTCTACACAAACGTCCTTATGGCACGTCACACAATCTTTGCGTGACGAGCCATAGGAGGAGGAGACACGAGGCTAACAGGGTGGAAGTTAACCTGAATTTTTTACACATAGCGATACGCGACAATTTTATGAGGCGTGAACGCTTTGTGTGACCACGCTCCATGTCTCCCAAAACGGCTGAAAATTGGGCCCACTAGCTAGCCTGTCTACACCCTCAGACGGGCAATCACCAATGACCCTCGTGTCATTACATTGGGAGCGTGACGAAAAGGAAGAAATGAATTAGTTACCATGATGTCTTGAGAAACAGGAAAATTCCTGGTCGTGTTCTTGGCAAGATCGGTAACAGTAAGGTTTCCGTTAGAATATCTGAGATACTCGGTATCTGTGGAAGCAAACATAAGCGAATCAACTTTATAAAAAGGACAAAGTCGTTAGTTTTTCTTTAAAACCAAAACGTTGCGTTTCCATCGAAATCCAATGCCGCGTCCACTGAAAGGCCATGTTCCAGACTCTCACAAAACCGTGACGCTTTTAGTTTCTCGCTTTCTCGAAACTTGAGCTTAGAACCGCCTCTGACATAAACTGTAATCAATTCCAGCTCTAAGCTTTCATTCTGTGTCGGAATTTCGTCATCGCAATTGTGAGAGCCTAACTGGATAATGTCGCCATCTTGGGTTTGTTCACGGTACTGAGGTAGCCTCTTTCAGGCTTTCAGTTAGTTGGGGTGCAGCGCCAAAAAATGGCGGAGCGAAACAAAGGGAGAGAGAGTTTTCCGCGCTGCACCCAACTTACTGAACGCCTGGAAGCGGGAGGCCTCGATTATCAACCGCTATTCGAACAAGGAGCCCGCGCTCCTCCCGCGAACGTAGGAACCTGCGTAGACTGGACTCGAATGAGAGGAGAAAATCGAGCCTAGGAAGCGGGTGAGGCCAATACTTAAGGGACGTGGTAACGTATTACATTGGCTTAAAGAAAGAACATGCATGATAGAAAATCTTGAAGTGAACTGTCAACTCCCTTGAATACAGAAGTCATCCGTGAAGAGCCATTTTGGTTTAAGACTATTTCTTCCCCGCATTTTTGCAATAATGTGTACTTATTATTTAACCTACAAAGTAACTAGGTTTTACTACAAACAAGCTCCAGTTTGTCGTGCTTTTTCTATCGTATTTATTAAATCCATAGGAAAATTGGAGAAGATTCTCACGTATACAACAAACGCGCCGCTTTCACGTAAAATTGGCAAACGGCAGACAGTAAATATTTACCTTGTTTAACTCATCATACCTGACATCCAGCGAACAGAATAAGTAGAGTAAGAGTATTTGCCATTGAAGATGTCGTCAAATCCGTACAACTTCCCAGAAGTTTCCTGTTTACCTGCAGATGGCCACACGCATCATTTCAATAAACCCTCATTTTCAAAACAGTTGTTCTCATTTAATTTTCAACATGTGTTTCTCGTCTCAGACCTCAGCAAGATCGCAGATTAACCGCATCCTGCCCTCGTACCCGTTGCGTGAGGCGCGGAACGGGGAATGCGCAAGTGTAGCCAACCGCGGAACAAACGCGGTTATACAATAAGCTTGGTCGCACGTTGTTAGTGCACGAGTTTGAAAACTATAAACTTCTGAGATTAACCCTTTGTACTAAAGAAGTACAATAAAAAAGCGTGAAACATAAGGGTAAAGCGGCCCATTGAAATGTTTGTTACATAGTGATATAGCGGTGTACAGTGCTTTGCGTTACGTTTCTGCGAAAAGTGCGCATATGTGTTAGAGTGCTTTGGCTCCAAAAGTTCTCAGTTTTATGTGAACCACGAAGTGGAGAAAAAGAGTCGTTCACTTTCGTAGCCAAAAGAAGAATGCAAACTTCTGGGATTATACATAAAGCAAGATTCGGCTGAAGATAAGCCATTGAGCGGTACATGTGATACGCTGTTTACTTAAGAGGCGCTTTAGTATGGCACAGAGCGCTTGCTTTCGTTTATTTATTATATTTAACCTACTTGACAAAGGAAATCGTTCGTAAAATGTAAATACACTACGCAAGAATGTAGCCGAGAGGCGCGAAAGAGCCATTGGTTGCGGCCACTCAAAAAAGACTGAAAACTGTTACACTATTATGCAAATTGACCTTTTGACGTCACTGTTGTCTAGCTTTTGTCAGAAACTCTTTGTATTTTTAATACCATGCCTATTGTGCTTATTATTTTCATTTTAAGCAACTGACGCCTTTGTTCTTTTTTTGAAACTACCAAATAATGAGGTCAACAGAGAATGATCGTGATAATTGACTTCAAATACATCAGAAATTTGAATCATATCTTAGGCTAAAATTTTCGCCATTCATAAGCCTCTTACAGCAAGTCTACTTAGAATGTCTAAGGAAAGGTCTTCGTAAGCACAAGCAAAGATCACCAGGAAAGAACCCTGGTTAAATTTTGATTCACATGCACAAACGTCTGCTGGTCGCGAGGGTTAGACCTTACTCCCCCTGAAAAGAAAGTATCACAGGCGAGATTCGGGGGAACGAAAAGCCCATGAAGTGGGCTCCTGGGTGGCAAGGGGTTTCTTTGGTTAACATGCGCTGCTGTTGAGCATGTTCGGATGTCTTTGCTGTGTTAGCTGCATTATCAAAGACTGGAAAATCAACATTCTTTTGGCCTGCTACAGCGGGCATATGAGTTTGATGGACCCAGAGAAATCCTTCCAAATCAAATCCCTTCCCCGGGAAGAGATAAGCTTACCTTTTGTTGTCAGTCCCTTCCCTTCCTTGGAGAGAACGATGGCTAAAATAATTGCAACTGCTACCAGAAAACTCACCACAATCAGTGGTATTCCAATCTTTGTAAACTGCGAACTAGTGCGCATTTTGATGAGGAAAATAAACGAACTTAGCTCGACCGATCGACTCACAGATGCTCCAGCTGGAGCTCTCGTCTGTCTGTGACGTAAAATGTGATAACTCCGTCATTACTGAAACAAACGATATCCGGTCGTATGACCTTTGACTCCATCATGCTGGTAGTGACTGTTGTAGATGCGATTATCCTGTACCAAATTGGTGATGGGAACTGCAGTACAGTGTGCCAGAAAATAATCAATCGAAGAAAAAAAGCAAAAAATAATAATAAAATAAAATAAAAATAAATAAATAAATAGCACTTCTTTTTCAATCAGATGTAGAAGTATTTGGTTAGCCTGCACACCTCGCTCGAGCCGAAAGATAGTTTAAAACACAAGTCTCGCGCCGAAGTCACGCAACGGGATGTGGAGCGTTGCGTGACTCCGACACGAAAATCCCTTCCCGTTTGCCCAGCTTTACGACTTCTACGCAGGTTAGATCTTGACGCAGTGAAGGGTTTTTTAGTCTGTCCTGAGACCTATTTTGTCTTGAATTTGTCGAAATCGCAATTCGGGGTATGGGGAATGAGCCAACGAGGACGGGAAACAAGCCAAAACGAACGGGGTGGGGCAAGAAAAAAAAAAAACCGGAAGCGATCCCATGTGAAAAGGTGGGGGTTGCAAGTCGGAAACTTTGAAGCAATCCCCTAATGGAGACCAATTTGGGCGCAACTGGAGCTTTATTTGACCCCTATAAAAAGAAACCACTTTAAAACGAATATGACAGTGTTTTTTCTTGTTTGTTTTTTTTTTTAGTGCAACCCTAAAAGATACCTGTCGTTTTGTCACAAACATCGCAACTGAGACAAAAATCCAAGATTTTACACCCCTACCCCCATCATTTACACCCCTGACAAGTATCCCTGACCTTTGAGTTTTTCTTGAAACCAGAGTATAATTTCGTAAAACTCCAGGTAGCTTGCAAAAGATTTTTGCCACGTAGTTCAAGATGTGAGACTGAATACATACTCAACAAGAAATTTAATTTACTATATTCTCAGACGTTCTACTGTACATTTATTGTGGACTCAAAGTGAGAGTTAACATTTGAATTTATATGCCTGCCCTGTTCAAAATACCTTCCCCCACCCCCACAACTATTATTTCAGCTCTTCCAAGTAATAAGTCATTCTCTGCATGATATGGGGTAGCCTGTTATACAGATGCTCTGTGGGATTGTCACACAATCTTCCTTCCATGTTTGTGGGGAAGGAAGATTGCGTGATGAGCCCAAAGCCTACCTGCGTAGGAGGCTAGATATAGAACGAAGAGAAAAATCGGGACTAAAACTGAAAAACATTGAAATTTCTAAATTTTTAGGGCTGATAAGCTTGCGGTAATGAATGTTTAAGTCTGAGACTCATTAAGGCACCAAGACACTTGTTTCAAATTGGACCACTTTAACGATGTCACACAATATCACTTTTTTAAAAAAAACACATATACAAAACACCACTGAAGATCAATAATTATTATTTATCTTTGCAAATTTAGTAGATAAACAAGGACTATGTGACTCACTTCAAAAGGGATTTCAAGATTTTGAGATCAACAGTATTTGTAGTTACATGTACTTATTTTTTTATTATATCATTAGGTAAGAATTATATTAATGAATTAATATTATTACATACTCTATGATTTTGATTTTGATATTTTTTCATTGATACCTTTATTTTTCCTTGAAGATATTAGCTCTGTCTGGCTACCCCAAAAATAAGAGCAAATTAAAATAAAGTTTGTGTATGTATGCACCAAAGGTTTCTGCGATCCACTATTTTCTAGACACCATTTGTCACCCTTATACATTGCCCACCTGTACCTCTGTCACCTATATCACCCCTTCAGGTGGGGGTTGTGTTCACTGGCAACCATGGCACCAACACAAGTCAGGCACATCTTACTAATAAATAACCTTTTCATTATTTACTTAAGAAACTCATGCAGAAGAACAGTAGCTGTCAAAATGGTGCAAAGAATTGAGGTCATTGTGCTTGCTTTTGACCACCACTGATCACTTTCTGCAAATTTCTTGGGCATTAAAGCATCTTCAACACCACTGCTGAGATCAGATTTGTCCCTGATGCACATGGCTAATTTCTCTAACTCCTCTGCAGTTCTTTCTTCATGTTGAAGAACAGAGCTGTCAAGTTTCTCCAGGTACTGCTTTAGTGTCTGAAAATCTCCTTGTGTTTTGTACTGATTGATTTTCATAACCTCGATGACTGAGTCAATTCTTGATGTAAGGCTTTTTGTCATGTCAGCAATGTTTCCTTGGTGTTGGTTTGGTCCTTGGTTTTGAGTTACCGAAGATTGTCCACTTGCAAAGCTCTTAGCATATACAGGAGGCTGAATATGGATTCCAAACTCCTTGAGAGGATCAGAGGCTGAATTCAGAGTAACAAAGTTCAAGACACTTCCCAATTCTTCAAGCTTTTGTTCCAGTAATTTACTTTGTGTAGAGAAAGATTCCTTAAGCTCACTAGCTTGTGAACCCATTTGATTATCTTGTGCTTTTACTAGATCTGTAAGCTCATCAGTCTTTTGCATTAATGTGATTCCTGTTTCCTTAATGGAGTTTTTGATCTGCTTCAAGCGGATGTAGTTCACTATGGAGGAACCTAGGATTCCTGGAAAAGACAATTGAAAGCAATAATATTTGCATTGATTGGATTTCACACCTTACTTTAGATGACTGCACACAGTCACAAAAAAACAACCCCTCCACTTTGAAGCATTCCTACCATATTGTAATAATATCAGGGGCAGATCTAGGGGGAGGGTGCAGGAGGTCCATGCCCCTCCCTGAGATGACATTTGGCTTTCTAATATAACTGGTATTCTGCAAAAAACCTCAGTTGTGTCATTCCTTAGTGGTGCATCCCCTCCTAAGAAAAATCCTAGATCCACCCCTGGTTGAATATTATGCAAATACGTAAGGTTTGAGGGAATATTTTCAACACAAAAATTAGTGAAATTAATAAATGACCTTTTAGCATTTTGTTTAACCATTTTTTGAAACAATTTGAATGGTTAAACATTTTGCTAGCTCCCCTGATCACCCCTACCAGCCCCCCTCCCCCCACCCCACCTAGTAACTAGCAGGTATGAAATCTAAAATTCTCATGGTTCCACTCTACAGCATGACCATATGCAGCACATGGTCCAAAGATGCTGAAGTAAAAATATCACACCTCCCAAAGAAAATGGGAATTTAAGGCTGAAGTTCTTACCAAGTGCTGCACCACCAACAGAGCCAATCACAGACCAGTGCTTAGTCCTCTCCGCTCTAGCTCTCTCTCTTTCATGAGAATCCCTAACAGCTCCAGACAGAAGCGCAAATTGATCTCTCTCCAAAGCTTCCAAATGTTCATATTCGCTCTTAATCCTTTTCTCTTCAACCAGAATCCGATGCTCCTCTGTCGCTAAAGCTAGATAACGTTCGTCATCACGAGGAATTCGGTCCAATTTACGGCGCACATCTTTTAGCTTCTCCTGAACAGAGCTTAGTGAGGACCTTGCTGATTGGACCTGACCTCGAGTTGTCATGAATTCGTTCTCTGCTTTCTTGACGCTCGTCTGAGCTTCTTGCACATCGGAAATCCCCACTAGATCTTCGAAAGCTTGAACAAAGCCACCAAGCTTCTCATAAGAGTATCGAAGTACGTTTTCACTCTTCACATACATGACATTCGAAGCTCTAGAAAACCACTTTCCCGGGAATTTCTGGTCACGAGATTTTGTTCCGTGAAGCAGGCGGCACCATATTTGCCATTCCTTAGTCCTTGCTCCGTTTTGAAAGCAACAGCTTTTTTGAAGAAGTGCTCTAGTAACTATTATCATTATTATTTTTTGTTTGCGTTAAAATGGTAAAGAAATACTCAGTGTTTTACTTCCCGATAGGTTAGAACGCGCCGGGCCGCCATGTTTGCCCACACTTTCCGAGAGGGGCTTGGGAAAGAAAAGGATAATTTTGGTAGGGCAGGGTGGGAAAGAAAGCTTTTGGAGAAGTTAGCTGAGGTGTTTTTGAGGTCCATGGCTTAGCTTTTAGATTCCTCTGAGGAAAATCGATTCTTTTGCTAAGGTTTTATGTCAACCACTGTGTTAGTAAGCAGGACTTTGAACAGTTGACCCTGTACCGTCACCCTACCCCGATGAGGATCTATGCGAGAGAGCAACCTGGAAACAAATATAGACTCGGAAAATAAATATGGCGATGCAAAGTTTTCGTCGAGCAACGCGGTGTTTCAATTTGTACTATCGTTCTTCGACAAATTGCCACTTCTATGGACTTCACCAAAGAACTTTCAGTCACGTTGGAGTTGTTGGAACTGTTTATAATCGACTGGATTGCCGTCAAGCAAACTTTTCAACCTCTTCAATTAATGGGACGAGATCCGGCGATTCGCGGATTCAAAAATTTCGTAAAGTTATTAACTCATTTGTCTCAGGAAGCAAGCAGTTAGGAAAGGATGTAAAGTTAATGTTTGAGATACAGAGGAAGCTGAAAAATAATGCTTTCAACTGGGACAGTTTAAAAACAGAGGAAATTATCCATTTACATCAGGTAAAAAATATGAGTGCTCTGTAATGTTTAAAACATTTTATTCCCATCGGTCCCCTGGGAGACTCCTGTAAAATGACGGAAATTCCTTCAAGAAAACTGTGTTAGTAATGTAAAAGACCCCTAAGAGCTACCAGAATCCTTTTATTGGATATGGCTGAAGCTCATATTTACCACCGACGGAAACTAGTTCCAAGACATCACTGGCCAGAAAAGAGCCAGCTCCCATATAAGTTAATTAAGGGATAGACAAACCATTTAACTTTTGAGGGAGCGGTTGGCTGATTTAAAAAAAGAATTCTCCAAGCATACTTGTAGGTGAGGTAATGGCAAATTCTGTATACAAGCCAAGTGGTCCATCAGGCTCAAGCTTATCCTAGTTTCCGTAGCATGAAGCAACTAGAAGTATTTCACCTATGAGAGACCCTGGGAACAAGGTTGATCGCGGGCAATGGCAGTCACTGATCGGTCGCAGTGCGATGCTATGAGCCTCACGCCTCACTTTGAATTCGACAAAGCACAACATGACAAATTGTTCAATAAGAGAGGACCCCTCCCTGGTGTTTTCAATTGTCAAATAAGCACATGACCAGACCCAACCAGGGTCTCTCTTCGCTCGCTCCAGGGGGCGGTAAGATGAGAGACCCTGGGAATGAGGTTGTTTCACCTCCACCCTGGATAGTATGCTAGTCCATTGCAGGGTTGTACCCCAGCATTTAATTTGCCAGTACCCATTTATACAC